TGCCAGCCGGGTCGGTACAGGTCAAAACCGGCAAACACTTGGCTGGACCGAAAAGGGAACAGAATCGACCAGGCAACACCGAGTTCGCTCTATGGACACCCCTGATGCATGTTCCATCCTAATAACCACCCAAAATCCGTGCTGGGATCTCCGTATTTTGACGCACGGCCGCACGTGGCGACGCACGCAATTTTTATTGGGCTCCCTCAAAAGGTGGGAGTTTCGGGGCCATTGGCGAAGAACATCCAGGCCGGTCACGAGGTATTTCTCGCGCAGCCCGACTTGCCGTTGGTTTCGTGACATGTCTTCAAGACCGACCCATTTACAATTTAAATCACTCCTTTCCAGTGGTTCTTCCCCTTCGTTAATTTCCAGCCATTCAGGATGAAAGTTCGAGTTCCAGCAGACTTGCTCAAAAGCTCTCCCAGAACCCACTTTGATCACAAAAAACACACATTTCTACGACCTTGCGCCTGACTGGTCACCTTCGCTGACGGCCCCAGACCAACCTTCTTCTCGCGTGCAACAACGCGACCCCCTGCCAAAGCGGACGAAGTGGACAACGCGGTTTCGGGAAGAACAAGAATGACATTCTGAAACCAGTCCCTACAAGTCCAAAGACCCTGTAAAATCTGTTTTTTTTTACCTCCTCCTCCAGTAATTTGTTTTATATATGTGTGTTTTTAAAGACCAATAAGGTCATTGTATTCCCTTGTCGTCGATTCGGTTGATTGGGTGGTCAACCAAGGTTGTTTTGCCCCACCACGTGAAAGAACACGTGGGACCGTCGCATCATGTGTTGCGTCGTCGTTGAGACCGCGCGGTCAAGCCGCAGGTGGGCGGGTGGGGCAATTCGATGCATCCGTCCAGAGCACAGCCGTAGTAGGGAATTGACAGCCGTGTCTGACTGGGCCCCTGGCCCCTTCATCGAGCCGAAGAAGTGATTTCTGGCGAAGAGATCGAAGCATCGAATGGGATTCTGACATCCACCTCTCACTTCTCAGGACGACAGTTTAGCGACGCTCCGCAATGATCGAAGCGAATTTTGTAGAGACTCCGAGCGCTCTGCCTGGAAGGCCAATGAATGGCAGCGTTCACCGGCAGCCTTCCGAGTGTATGATCCACGAGCCCCACATGCCGTAGATTGGAGGAACATCACAGAAGGTTTCCTACGCGGTTTGGTGAGTCAATATCGTACTCCAGACACTCCATGATACTCCATGTATACTTCATTACTGACCTCTGTTTTGACCGGAAACGACCCTATGTTTGGTGGTTGGTGGTCCAAAATAGAGGTCCAAAACCTGGTTTCTCGGATCCAGCGGACCAGTCATCCAGTCATCCAGCGAGGATTCCGGATCATGAGGTCTCTAAAATATTTAGGGATGGCCAGACAAATGGCCATGAAAACTCCTTCCCTTGATTCACCCAATCGGTGTTATGATGTTGGAATCTTCCTTAGTTCTGCAGTTGCTCCTACCCTGCAACCTGCACAAATGATTTGCCCTTGTTTTTTGAACAAGCCACACTTCAACACCTATACTTTGAGACCTTCAATGGATGAACTTCACTACGTAGTCTCCGAACATGGTCTTCGAACATGAAAACGGTTCTCAAGACTCCGGTCTCCTGCATTTCGGGACGTTCATGGCTTTTCGATTTGTGCTCCAAGAAGAACAGACCGGTGACATCCGGTGACCCTGGAGATGACTGGAGAATACTGGAGATTCCCTTTCCCAGACACTCCATGTAATTATGCCATATAATGGCATATATAAATATGAACTATATGGTATATGCCTACATTGACCCCCCAAACCACCCCAATGTAGGCATATATGGCATACAGTGTCTGGGTTAAAGTAGTGATGTGAGCTCAGCTCTGTCCAGCCGTCAGACGCGACAATCCCGGGACCGGGATGCTCCTATGATCCATCTGAGCACGGGAAGATAAGATCCGACTGTCAGAGGTTCGATGGCACCAGCACCCCAAGATGTCATAGACAGAGAGGGGGTCCATCTAAACCACCGAACTTGGAGGCCCTGACGTGCCATCTACTCTCAATCCACTATGACAGTGTGTTTATCATTTATCATCGAAGAGCCAGGTCTACTACTATCCCTGAGAGTCCAGTCATGACTCATCCACTACCAACGCCTGGTCGTGGTGGATTATGACTATACCAGACACAAAGTTCATGAATCAACATGGAAGTTCTCCCCTAAACTCAATCCACGGATGACACGTGTTCTCTTTCTCATTTTCCGGTCCATCCGTTCCTGGCGTTCCTTCCCTCCGTTCACCGGCGCCAGGAGCTCTGGTCGCTCGGGTCCCGACCGGATGAGAGGCGAAGACGGACGACGAAGTGGGCGACGTGGGCCACCGGGGACGTGGCCTTTTTGGGGCGACCGATCAACAGGTGAAGCATGGATGGAGACACATGGCGCGATGTGTGTTTTTTGAGTGAAACGTGATTTTAGAAGATCAACAGCCAAAACATATCAAAACATGGATAGATTTGTTCAATCTTGGATAAAACGGGATTTGGATGGGTAGACTTTCTAAGCAATGGACTTTTCAACGTCCATGAACATGGCTGGGGCAACCTCTCTTCTTCTTTCCATCTCTCATCACAGGGTGCACCTCCAGGCTTGATTCGGCGTGCTACGGTAGTGTGTTCGGGCAGTTTTTTTAAGCATCAGTGTGTGGTCGTGCTTGAAACGTGTTGAATGTTCGCTCGCTAAGTACATTTGGAATGCTGGCAGGATGCGTCCCAATGAGCTGCTCAACTGGTTCTTGCCTGGCATGGCAGGTGTCAGGTTCATCATGTGGAACAACTTGCTAGGGTACCCGATGTTACCTGCGACCTCATGTTACCTGATGTTGTGTTTCTTCCGTCCCCCCGATCCGTCAGAAGCCACCGGAACCCCAGTTCCCCGCTCAACCAGCCATCCGGGGACGCGGTGGCAGTCCGAAGCTCGAGGCGGGGCGGTGTCGTCTGATCTGGAGGCGGTCTGCGGGTCGAACGGAATCCGTGGCGATGACGAGGCGAAGGGAGTCCTCAGGAGGGTGAGGTTGGTTGATTTGAGGAAAATGGTTCGGTGGATCGGAGGGTTTTATATACTAAACTATATCATTCAAATCCAAAACCGTTGAAACGTGGCTCGGGAGTGGTGAACGTACACAAAAATCAATCATAACTCCTGGGTGGGGAATCAACATTTAGATTCTTTGAATCATTAAGAATCCTGAAGAATAATGTGCATATATACGTAATTTATGTAACGTTGAAACACATATTATCCTTATTAGAGTCGTGCATGATTTGACTCCTATGTGTCAGGCCATTCTGCCTGCAGAAGTTCAAGTTCATCCGTCGGATTCCCCTGCGGAAGGTGTGGCCACGTGTCGTTTGCGCGTGTCGTTGATGGTTTACGTCGTGCGCGGTCAGGACTGTTCAAAGACAAGCCTCAATGAATAAAATGCCGTTTGGTATGACTCTCATGCCACGGCCGTTTGGCCGTTTGGTATTGATGTGGCGCCAGTGCTTTTTGTTAACCCAAGATTCTTGAAGACTGCTTAGCTCTGCTTCGACTGCAGAGAGCGAAGTAAAAAGTGGTTCTTTCTCTTTATCGACCCAACGTCTTCGACTGTCCGAGTCGGACTGCCAGTGCTTTTCGACTGTGAGTCGGGTGAAAACGCCTTCGTTACGATCGTCGCTGTGTTCGCGGCTCGTGGCCTTTGTTTCGACATCAACATGTTGCACCCACCCACATGTTTAGCCTTAGGATCTATCGCTGCTGGATTTTGAGGTGGGAATTCCTGAATGGCTAGCTTTAAGTTCATAAATAATCCGGCACCTTTCGTTGTGGAAGCACTCGTCACGCTACTCAATGTCGGATATCGAACTCCGATTAAGAGGTTCAAAACCAATATGTTTGTTTTGAACTCAATAAAGCTCACAGTCACATGATTTGGCGGAGTCCGCATCCTCCCATACGATGGTCTCTCCCAATGATATGGCGGGTTCTTCTATTTGGCTCTAAAACCGGCTTCCCCAGGTTTGGACATGTGCCACCCCCCAATCCCTCCGGTCCTGTGAGTCCTGCGCCGCGAGTGGTGCTCCAGGTGAACCCGTCGTCTCCAGCGGCGCCAGGGAACGTCCAGCGCGTCCGGCGCGCGGGCTTTCCTCGCGCGAGGGGACGAGGTGTGCCGCTGAGAACGCTGTTTCGGGAGTCGGGGCGAAGAATTGGAGGGGTTTCAGGTCTTGCCATTCAGTGCCATTCCTGGAGAAGTCACAATCAGAAACACGTCATCAATCAGGCGATCACATCGCTACCAGCTTTTCACGTCACACCCTCGCAGCCCGAAGCCCGAAGCCCGTTCTCATTCTCGACGCTTCGCCCCGACGTCTGACCCTTGGCGGATCGGACCCCCGGTGGTTCGGACTTAATGCTTCGGTCCACGGTCCCGGTTTTTCCGCGTTCCCGGGTGGTCGAACGGATACCTCTTGATGGGAGGTGAGATGAGGTGAGTATAGACGAGACCGTACCTTCCGAATGGGAAGGAACGGGAAAGGCCAACATCCGATTCGGATGCCTTGACCCAAAAAAAGGGGTGATGACTAGCAGGGTCTGTCCGAACTGATCTGAGTCTGTTGTTCAGTCAGTGTTCACCAGCAAATCACTATAGTTGAAAAGAGATCAACCAGGCCGGGACATGAAAAAGTATAAGTTGTCGTATGAAAAAAAAGAAAACCGTTCTTTTGCTCCGCTTAAACAATTGACCTTTGATGGTTTGTGCTTTTTTTGTGGTAGGTGGTGCCATCCACTTCTCATTTCAAGGAGTGTAGATTGGTCAGGTCGCTGCTATGCAGCCACCTGGAAGCCCTGGCTTGACCTGGCTTGACCCAAGAAGTCATGCACTGTCCCGTATTGTAGAATCTTGCATGATTCATAACCCTACGTGAAGAGGGGTTCGGGGAGGTTAACCAAGAATTCTACATTAAGCTCAACAACTTCAAGCCCTGGACGATGACCACGGCGGTCATCTCTCCAGAACGCGGTGTAGACACGATCTTGCCTGGACGAGGGTGACGTCGGTCGCATAATCGCAACACCAAAGCTGCGAAGAAGAACCAGAGGAAAGCGGTTTGCTTTTGGGGGGGAGGACCAACAGAGGTTGAAGGACCGTATAGACTATCCCATAGGTATCCCAGTAGGGCCCTATAAGGTCACTCAACCTCTCTTGGGAGGACGGTCTTCGTGGATGAGGACGGTGTTCAGTCGACATGTCTTGTGGGGCTCAGGTTCGTTCCTTGTGGGGCTCAGGTTGCAGAGCTCTGTCTGTTGCTCCCCCCCCACAGTCGATGCCCATCCAGGCGTTCACGGTCGCCGAGCCACGACTACTGGGCCGAGGGCCATGAGGATCCAGGCTGAGACACGACCGCCATCTGGGACTGCCATAGAACAGCCGAGAAAAAGCCAGGGGTGGTTTGGTGGTTTGGCGGGTCAATGATAAGTAGATGATGGCAGTTTTATGGAGTGTTTGGGCTTTTTTGAAGTCACCGGTCACGTTAAAACCCGGCGGTTTTTTGGACAGCCTGTTCCTCACCTCATCTAAGAGGCTAGGAATTAGATACCTCAACAGGAGGGTCCTGGCAGAAGGTTCAAATCCAACTTCCAGCAGCATTGACCTGGGCAGGCCCCTCCTCTCCGACTCAGGTTGCACAGTGGGACAGAGTGGTTGTGATGTTTTTCTTGGTGTTGATTGGAGCTTGACATCGCTGTATAGTGATCCCCATTTGGGGTTCCATATACAGTATTATATATGTGTATATATATATATATTCGTAGTGCTCCAGAGCATCTCTGAGAAGGTATCCGGAAATTCATCTTCTGAGGATGGGTTCGAACTGAAAGTTGTCTCTGAGGTTGGGTCTGAACCCCGGGCGCGTGCTCAGCAAGTTCTGGCTCACATGCCCTTTTTTCACGAGCCTGAACGTTGTCTGGTATACTATATAAGCTTAGCCACCAAACGCCAACCATCTCATGTGGACCACATGCACTTACAAACGTCCATGTTTTATCCACCAGACCTTCGAATCGATGAGCCATGGGCCTTGGAAGGGATGCGGCACTACGTGGTGCGCCCTGGAGTGTCGCTAGCGTTCATGGGAGTTCTGAAATCATGGATATAGATGCATCTGTAGCATGAGATGCATGTACTTGGATGGTTTAGGGGGTGAGATGGTTGGACCTTTGACGTCGTCGTCCGCCCGGAGCTGCCGCGACTTGCTCACGAGCTCACTCCTGGCGCCCGTGCGAGTGCGAGCACGATGGCGTTGATCGCGACCCCTCTCAATGCTCTATAGGCAAAATTTTCACGTGCCTTAGCACAATTGGCAGTACTGGTATGTAGGATACCCTGAAGGTGGATATGAACCGGTTGTTCTTTCCTCAAAGCAGCTACCTCTCAGGCTTGGCAAGAGATCTGTCAGGCTCAGATCGATGACCGTGCTTTGGTGCACACAGTTGCCCCAGGCCTCCAAGTGCCTCTTCAACTTGCTAGCGTATATTTTTAACCTTCAAACACCCCAAAAGATGTTGATCGATCTAGAGGGCACTTGGAGCCCTATGGTCTAGAAATGTTTTGTGGGTATGTAATGTGGTAGCACTGTGTTGGTCAACCATGACCCACAAAGTTCGGACCGAACTGTTCATCGGACCAGTACTGTTGATCAGCTGAGTCATCAACCACCGGTTCGCCGCTGGGTGGCACGTGGAGGACTTCGTGGGCCGGTTGGTGACGTCTCTTTGCACTACCCAATCTAAAGGCGTCGAACAGGGTGGTCTACACGCCTGGTACACTGGTACACGGGGCTTCTTGGCTTCTGATACGTACGTAGTATTACTATTACTACTACCACCACCACTACCACTACCACTACCACTACCACTACCACTACCACTACCACTACTACTACTACTACTACTACGATGATGGCCCAGACGGCGACGACGACTACTACTACCACTACCTTCGCTAGGGCTTCAAGTACCTCCTCAAGACCCTCCAAACTTCAAACCCACCTCAAACACCTTCTTAAGGTACATGGAGCCCTAGAACTACTACGCTACTGTTTTCATCACCTCGGGGGCTTGAAGTGCCTTCTCTTTTAGACCCTGTAAACCCATCCCAGACTCGACACTAAACATCCATGAACATCAACTTGTAGTCAGCTGTGCTGACACATCTCAGGTTGTGTGCTGCTGGGAGCTTGCAGACCTTCAATGAGACCTCCCATGCCAACTGAGCTGACGCGCTTGGTGGCGAGCTCGTCGTTGGCGTGAGCACGTGGTGAGCATGTGAAAACGGCGGGCTGCTGGAGGGTGGCAGGAACAAGAATGGGTGGCACAAGATCCCTTGGTGAGGGAACACCACATTCGAGATGGCGACCATAGATGATTTTGGGGAAAGACTGTGATTCAAAACCCCTTGGTGAGGGAACATGTCCGGAAGATGAGTCAATTTTGGTTACCATTGATGATTTTTGGTGAAAACCATGTCCGCGTTAAATTCCTACTTTTGCTGAGGTTGGGTCCGGAGCCAAAGCCTGCTCAGACAGGCCTCAGACCCCAAACACCTTCTAAGAAGGTATCCGGGGAGTCTTTGGGTATATATATGTATATAATATATATATATATAAAACGAATCCAAAGACTGGCTGTTTTTTTCTCTGGAAGACTTGCTGATCTAGTCCACATGGGGCCAGTCAAGTCCTGTTGATAAAGTATTCCAAATGTCAAATGAACATGGAGTGTCATGGAATAGCATTCTGAATCTAGCTGGCGAGTACCCATTTTGATTCTTCTAAGGGGTCTCCACAGACTGGGGTCTCCGTTAAGGCATATCCCTAGGCCACAGGGTTCCCGTGCCATATCCTCAGGTTCGGTGATCTTCGACCCCCCTGGCACCCACCCCAATCCCATCTTCTCAGGAGCTAGTTGGAGCCCTTCCATCATCCGTCACGATTACTCCAAGAAACCCTTTTGGCCCGGCCAGAAGCTCCAAAAAGCGAGCAACCATCTTTTGGCCGGAGGAGGGCTTCCCTCCACCGAATCCTAAGGGGCCATGCCATCCACCTTGCCAGGCACCGTGCCGCAACCCAACTCGCCGAAGGCGGAGAGCTTCGCCGCGATGCCGCGGGAAAAACCGCGACCGGCCGCGTTTTCTACGGTGGTGGCGCGGAGCGGCCGCCCCGTGATTTGCACCCAATCTGATCAGCTCCAAGCTGACATGCGAAATCTCCAGACTTTCCAAATCGACCAGTGCGAACCATAGGGTTGGAGGCCCATCGCTAATTTAATAGAAACAAAAAAAATGGAACAGGCAGAACGGTTAAAGCTTTCAAAGGAGGAAGAACCCCCTCACAGGTAAACCTGTTTGGGGAACAAAAGGAACAATGGAACAGGAGACAAACGGTTTCAGCGCCCTTGCTCTTCTTAGCCTCCAGTGCACTTGCTGGAGGCTCGGAGCGCTCGGTCGGGGACCGGCCGTTTGGGTGGACGAGGCGCTTTGGATGGGTGGGTGGGGGGGGAGGATGAGTGCGCGTTTGGACCATTTGGAGAGCGCATTCAAACCCTCCCTGCGAGCATCTCAAGGGACCACCTGACTCAGTGATCCAGACCATTCCAGGTCATCTCGACAGATCACCTGGAAGAATGAAGGACTCTCCAATGGCTCACTTGCATGGAGGATTCCTTCACATCCATTGATTCGTCTAGATTGAACCCAGATTTCGATGTCTTGGGACTATCGGCGATTGGATGGCGCACCTGTTTCGCGAGCCAAGACCCCCATGGCACACCTGCCCTGCTTCATATGATGTCTAGTGGCATTTGCATGCATTTGCACATTTTGCAATGTGGCCATTTGGGTTACGGTGCCTCCATATTCCAATACACACTACATCACTGTGATCACACTACCTCTAATTATATACGTCTTTTGATTGAGGGACTTGGTTTGCTCTACTCCACTGCTTTGCAGCAGGCATTGGTTGACAGGATTTGTTTTGAAAGGAATCGGCACTCTCAAGGAGTTTGGTTTACATGATTGGATAATTTATTTTGGTTATATAAGAAACCTGAAATCAATAACCTTTCATCCAGATGACGGCCACAAGCTTGTCTATCAGGATGATGACGCATCCCCCCAACCAATGGTGCATCACCAACATCATCTCAAAGCATTTTGTTCCTCAGCGTTTTTGTTTAAATGCTTTTGATCAAGATGATTTTGCGCGGCGAAAAGCGATGATTGACAGTCTCTATCTCTCTCTCTCTATTATATATGTGCGATGCTCCTGGTTCGTTATTTTTTCTTTCGTCACCACCCTCGCCTATATGTTGGGATCACGCGTGTCGCAACAATATCCCGTCGACGGGATATTCACCGCCAAATCCGCGGTGCAAAGGACTGCTTGGGAAGGACGAGTCATCCAGGTGACATGTCGGCGATTGAAAGGCCTCACCCGAAAAAACCGGGAATCGGATCCCTCCCTGGACTCGGCGGCCCACCTCCGATCAGGCGGAGATTCGGCGAGCGGGTCCGGTCAGTCAGACCCATCGGTCGAGCGGGGGCATCGGTGGCAGAACTGGTGGGTGTGGTGATCTGAAGAGTCGCTTGGGTCCGCAGTCTTGGGTGTGTTCCAGTGGCCCTCAAAGCCATGAAAGATATAGGTTTCACTCGAAAAAAAAGGAAGAACACCATACTGTAGGGAAAACCTGGTCTTTGATGGTTTGTGAGGGCCCTGGTTTTAGGGTGGTTCTACTCATCCAGCAACTGAGGAAAACATCGGGTCATGCTTTTGTTGAATGCCGCGTTGTCCTGCACTGGTCCTCAGTGTGGTATGGCTTTGTGCGGGCAATGTGTCTTGGGCCAGGGAAACACCCTACCACTTATAGATGATAAATGAAGGCACACTTCCAGTGGTCAGTGGTTTTCGAGATCCTTAAAGCCCAGGCCAATTGAGTGGCATGAAAGAAGACTGTATACGTGTGACGGAGCCAATTTCAATTTCTGGATCAACTGGACAAGACCACCGGCTTGAAATTTGGAGCTCCTCCCAGAAGCTTTGGCCAAACACGATGAATCAGCTGACAGATGATCGGGTCTCTGTGATGTCATATCATACGCTGGTGTCTGTGCCCTCTATTTCGGTGCATGGCTTGATCGTCGAATTGGAACCACTGGGAGGACATCAGAACTGCCTGGCTCCACAGTGCCTCCAAGGCCGGCCAGGACTCGCCGCCCGCAGAAGGCCTCTTCAAAGCTGGAGGCCGGTTGGGAGCCGTTGGGACTGCCCTTCCGAACGGTGGAAAACGGACTGCCAAGTCGGCAGCGAACAGATGGAGAAGAACAGGTCTTCCACCAGAAAACGAAGTCACACGCTTCCAGGTTGTGACCAGAAACTGCAGTCACACGACTCCAGATATTCACATGTGCTGTGAATCATGAGATGATGCACATTTGCTAAAACCTTTGGTCCCTAGCCCTGCACAACAAGCAGAGGTGGAGGACACCGGACACCCATCACCCCGGTTGGAGGGATGGGTCAACCAAAAAGTTCCACCAACCGGGCAGAGTTGACCGTTGATCATGGAGATTCATCAACCAGAGTCCCAACACTGGAAATAGCTCGAGACGAACATGTTTCAATCCTTGCCACTCTATTTGTCCAGTTCAGCCATGAGACTTTGACACCACCTCTCAGAAATTCCACCACAAGCCCTCGAAAGTGAGTTCCAAGAGACCTTTCTCCATCCACCCGGACGCTCTTAAAACAGCCCTTGGTCCCGCAAAATCAGTTAAAGATTAACGATTCCAGACCCCTGCAGAGGATTCGGGCTTGTCCTCCGCCCGTGCTTCGCCGCTTGTCGCAGGCGCAGAAGCGGAGCTCGTTGGCTTCGGAGGTGGGATCTGAAGGGGGGTTCAAGTCGGGCAAGATTGCTTCTGGCTCTTGAGTCAACTCCACCTTCAAGACACGACAGATCATGGATACTTATACATACTTATATCGGGTTAAGGATAGTTCAGGTTAGATCTGGCTAGTAATTACTTCTCGACTTTTGGTGGATCCGGGTGGATCTAACCCTATATTGGATGGATATCAAACATGTACGAAGGCAGGTGGTAATGCTTTACTTGCACATCTCTCTCGCAGAGGATAAACCGATAGGTGGGGCACGGGTCGATTGATCAAACATATGTCCGAGGCTTCCCAGCACCATAAATTAAGATATATAAGTGTTTTTACCACACCACCCTTGTTTTTCTTAGGACTTTATACTGTGAACACAGCAACCATTTTTAACCATAGTCCTGGACTTCCAGGGTCTGATTTCTGTTTTGATGGAGTTGGAGCCGCAGAAACCCTGAAAAAAACACTGATCAGGAGCCGGAACCCGTACATTTTTTGTGGGCTTGCTTTGGAAGGACCAGCATGGGAAGCAGGAGGTCCACAAAGAACTATACCAGTGCCTTTCCTTCAGAGGTGCTGGAAATTGTATAGTACGGTATAGTACATTCCCTTATGGAAGTGGACCACCGTATGGAAGTGGACCACCCTCTTATTATATATTTGTAGAGGAACATCATCTTATCAGGGGCCATGTTCCACTTCCATGATTGTTTGGGAAGGCCCCTTCCCAACCGATGGTTTTAGTCTATTTTGGCTCTTCCCAGGGTCTTCCCATTCTAATACACACTCACACACGCATTCAAGGGGTGCCCTGGGGACTACTCTACACTACTTATGGATCTCCTTGGACACCCCGACAGATGGACTAGGGGGGACGCGATGTCCAGAAACAACGCCCCAGTTCGAGGTGAGTGCTGCTTCAGAGAACGCACCCAGCGTCACTGATGCATCCTGGCTGAAGCCGGACTTCCTTTTTTTCGGAGAGGTCGGACCCATTCCCGAGAGCCGTGCTTCTTCTGTCGGACATCTTCTCTGCATCGCAAAGATGGCAGACAAGCTTTTCGTGGGCGACTTGCCGGAGTGTTTTCTTGGTGAATCATACTCATTGACATGAGCAGCACGAGAAATCTTCGGAAGGTGGTAATCAATCTATGTGCGCTTTGAAGATTTTGAGGGTCTCCCTCTTCCAAGCAAAGCTTGGATCAATGGTGGGGGCCAGGAAGCCTAGTGCAAAGCTTGCTCTGGCAAAACTGCAGCTTGAACGATGTGACCCATTCATATAGCAAAGCCTGATAAACAGAGTGCTCAATATCTGAGTGAGGCTGTTCTCAGGGGTCGGGTTGATTCATGCATGTTTTTGAAAGCTCGATCTATGGTGGCTTTTGGAAGGCTGCTGTATCTTCAGATCCGTATGAATGTGGGAGTTTGGCTGCAGAAAGTCCCAATGAACCAGCGCAATCTTTTTTCCCGCGTTCTTTCCAGGACCTTCAGTTCGTGACCTCAAACTGAAGTCTATAAGTGACCTCCTTCAGCTTAAGTGACATCGGATCTCAAGTGAACGGTCACGAAGGTGGTGTTGGATCCTGACCAACACCCTTCCCCTCGACTCGAAGACATCCCCGGTCGACTTGGGACGGGTCCCCAGCGGGCCGGGCGTGCCAGGGCTCGAGCCAAAGGACTGGTCCTGGACTGGAACGAGACGAGACAACCCGGACTGGTGACGAGACCGGACTGGTGGTCAGGATGATCCACCACCTTCTGTTGGTGTAAGATCTCTTTTGCGCCATATGGACTTCCCTAAGTGAATGACTGAGAACTGGCCACCGGGCTGCCAGCGGGCTCCCTCCGAGGCACTCATGGAACGTGAAGTCTCTCAGGCGTTTTGCAGAACTGGGATCGAAGGGAAGTACCAATTCGGTGAGTTCGGTGGTTTTCAACCATCCCTGGGAATCTGCAGCGGAGGTAGCTGCACTGGTAGCGTAGCGGGCTTTCAAAAGGAGGTGGTGGTAGCGAACACGATGCGAGCCCACCCAACCAAGGATCGCAATGATCCGGAGCACCTTTTCTCAAGTGCCGTCGAAAGGCCTCATAGGCCTGTGTAGCCACCATGGCCGAGTTCCGACCAACGATCCGTGGATCAAAAGGGGGCCCCCTGGTTTGGGCCGTACACAAACGGAGAAAACATGGTGGCACCTGAAACATGTCCCAAAGCTGCACCAGGACAAAAGGAAGTCAGGTGATCACCATGTGCCTCACTCAGAAGCTGGTGACCAGGTAGGTCTCTGGCAATGATTGCAAGCTCCATGAACTTGCCCTGCATGGACTCCCAGAAGTCGTGGTGTCCTTCATCACCAAGCGAGTCATCCATGTGGGCCACTGCGGACTTGCCAGCTTTCTTGTTCTTCTTGGCGGCCACGAAGTTGTGGTCAAATGCCACTGACCATCGCCAAATGGTCATGAACTTTTCCAAGCTGACACGACTGTCCGGCCGCTTCTTTGTTAGGCCGTCGGCCAAGTCATAATCAGATGCCACCCATCTGAGCTCACAGCCAACACGGTCCAAGTTGTCTCTCAATTGAAATGCCTGTAGGGCGGACCGAAAGTTGGACAAACCCAACAATGGGGATTCGTTGACCTCTATCGCGTCGAACCCTCCTCTCGAATCCGTACACAGGATTCCGCGCACCTCCAACACTTGCTTCTCCACGGCCTGCACCAGACCAGTGCGATCGAGTTGAGGTCGCCGACCGCCGGTGTGAAGGTCTGTCCACAGTACCCTCACCCTGAAGTTCTGGTCTTCGGCCTCGAGGATGCTCTGAACCTCAGCATCGTTTGATCCGATGCTTTTCCGTCTCAACTTCCAGCTCCTCCAGCTCAACAAGCACATAGGAGTGACCTGGCCTCACCCTTCGGCCTGTTTGCATGTGCTTGGTCGCCCATGGAGATGAAGACGATGTCATTCCATTTCTTGGCACCGTCCAAGGGGAAGAAGCGCAAGTGAGATGGTTGACGCCGGACTTCACCAACCATAGATTGGATCTCTCTTGCTTCAGACAAGGTGCCATTCACCGTGACTTCAGTGAGGAGGATGTTGCAGCGAGAGCAGAGTAGAGGTTGGGTCTGTATGGCGAGCCATTGAAGACCTCCGAGGGTTGTGCGGCAGGCAGCCACTTCTCGAGGTGTGAGCTTCCCTTCCTGCCGAAGTCTTTCAGCAGGGATGTCCAGATCTGGCAAGGCCTCCACATAGGCATCTTGATGCACTGTCACCATGAACTTGCCGTCCTTATAGGGCTTGGTGCGAACATCAGTGCCTGCATGCCTGTAGTCACGACGGCGAGCAGTGCCCCATTTGTAGGCAGCATCAATGCGAGTGCACATGTCTCGCCACTCTTGAGAGGTGTTGTCGCCAATGCGGTTGAAGTCGTCGACGTGGCCTCCCATGCATCCCAGCAACTTGGGATATCTGCCAGTGACATCCGTCTCGGTGGTCGAAAACCATGCCCACATTGAGCGCTCTCCTAGAACAGCTTGTCCACCTAGCTTGACACCAGGGTGCGATGAAGATCAAGCCAAAGTCCACGTGGAGCGGTGGTGCTGCCATAGATGTTCCGAAGCACCTTGAGGATGCCTTCTTGGCCCACTCCCAAGGCCTCACAAAGCTCAGCAACGCCTGTAGTCCAGAGATTGGCGTCCGCCTCGGTGGGTTGAGTTTGCAGAAAAGCCGTTGCCAAATCCAGCCCTTCCAGTTCCCACTGGTGATGGCTTGCAAGCAAATAGATGATGTTGCGACCAATCATGGAGGTAACAGGTGCAGACGTCTTGAAGGAGCGATCGAGAAGACTGGGATGTTGGAAGCCCAGAAGAACGATTCTGGCCTTGGCCTTTTGCTTGGCGTCTGGCGTCACGGTCGTGTTGGGGTTGTTGGCCAAGTCATCCAAAGCTTCTTGACGTTCTTCCTCCGGGATGGCTTTCCAGACAAGGATCCATCTGGCTTTCAGGATGCGGTTGCTGTCATAGGCCTGCTTGATCTCCTCCGAGGAGAGACATTTCCTCACTGCCTCATTCTTGATGAAACTGGAGACTTCTTTGTTCTTGGCGTGAGTGAAGAGTCGTTGCAAGGCCGGAGTCAACTTGGATATGTTGACCTCAGAGGAGTTCATCTTCTTGATCATGTAGGCCACGGGGTTTCTCTCGAGGAACTTGCGTTGACGATGGGACGTGGCCTCCACCTCAAAGGTGACAGTCAGGATGTCCTCATTCTCTCTCACGAGCTGGTTCAAGCTGAAGGCTTGTTCCTCAAGAGCTGCATCGACTTGCAGCTTTTCCACCCATGAGAGATGTAGGAGATCATCTTCTTCACCACGAGCTCTCTTGGATGCCGGTTCTGGAGCAGTGTCTGGCTCGGTGGGTTCATATTCGTTGACCGACACCTCATCTTCTCCAAATCCAGGAGGATGCTGATCATCTCCTGCGCCAAGTCCAGACGCTGTAGGTCCAGAAAGTCCAGAGTCAAGACCTGCTGAAGAGCTGGGCCTCGAGTCCAAAGGCCGATCAAATCCAAGAGGTACGATGCTCTTCTTTTCAAGACCAAGCGGAGATGATCGATGAACCACTCGATAATCTTCAGGTGCCAACGTTGACTTGGTGGTCTGACGTCTGATGGGAGCATATGTGGTGGAATCAGGATGCCATGGAAGATTGGGATGTTCCGGCTCATTTTCGGCAGGAATCTCATCAGTGAGGTCCTGGTGCTCTTTCTTTGGCATGATGTCGGCCAGAGTCTTCCATTGGCTGATGTCTTCCTTGGATGTCACCTCCCAGCGAAGACGTTCTGGCTCAGTGACTGGACGAACACTCAGAGCAGAGCAGCGGAAGAGTTTGCCCTGCATGAGAACCCAAACCACATGCTTCCGGTGATCTTGAGGATCTTGATGTGGTAGTGCCTCAGAGAAGATGACACGACCAGGACCGATCCATCCGGGTCGTTGACTTTTCCTCGTACCACCACGTGGTCCTTCAAGTTCGGGATGAACTCGTCGCCAGATCTTCACAAGATCGGTGCACTTGTAGTCTCGAAGAGGTTGCCGTGCCTTGGAATTGGAGAGCCTCATCAAGATGCGTCCAGCTCGATGTTTGCGAGCGACTTGCTCAGCCTGATGTCGGGCTGACACCAGTTTGGAGTATGACAGTTTGTCCTTGATCTGGTTGAAGGTCATGTAGTCTTCATCCAACAGGCTGTGGTCCTTGCCGAAGGCCCATTGATGAGAAGTGTAGCCGGAAGCAGCCAGCACCAAAGTGACCATTGGGTCCTGATCCATGGCCTCCAGCTGGATTGCAGATGCTGTGTGTTTCAGATCTTTGATGGCATGCTCAACCACACCATGACTCCAGGCCTCTTTCTCGGCTGGAAAGTTGACGACAATGCCATTGTCTTGGCAGAACTTGGTGAACTCTTCGGACCCAAATGCCCTGCCATTGTCGGGAATGAGCTGCAGAGGCTTGGGATAGTGAGCCAACCATCCCTCGCAGAAGGCCTTGATGATCTGTTGGGCAGTCTCGGTCTTCATGACGAGGAGCTCAAAGGGAGGCATCACCGGTACGACCACTCGAAGCTTGGTGGCCATGTCCAGCATCAACAGTCCCTTCACTTTCTTCTTTTGTCCAGGCACCGTCCAGTCGAAGACATCTATACCGACGGTGGTCCAGGCTTGAGGTAGTTCGTGAGTTGCTGCTGGTGGCACTCCTCCAGAGCTTGAGCCGCCAGGCTTCAGGGACTCACATGCTGGGCATTTAAAGTTCTCAGCGATGCGGATCTTCCAGAGAGGTTGACCAGAATCTCGAAGAAGTCGGACTGTGTTCCGAACAGTTGGATGTCCAGCTGCCTTGTGGTAGTGTGCGACACGGGCAGTCCATCTCTCTGCTTCTTGTCTGGATGGTGGCAGTGCCATGGCTTCGGACTGAGATGAGGATGACGGAGCTGCTATTGCCTGATCTTGCTCTGGATCTTCAGCATTCTCAGCAGCCATGATGTCATTCTCATTGATGAAGTCCAGGGAGTTCACATCTTCCTTGGCCATGATGTAGCGAGATCGCTGTGCATTCACCATCTGTGACTTCCAGAAGCGGCTGATGGCTTCGACCATTTTCCATGGATAGAAGGCTGACCGGCTTGTCTCCTGTCCGGTAATACTCACATGCTGATGGATTGAGCAGCACGTTTTGGCCTTGAAGCGGCTCCAGAAGCCCTCATCCGTGGTGTTGATGCGCCACTTCTTATGAATGAAGCCAGTGCCATCGATGGACTTAAGGTCATAGCGACATCCATCTATACGGCATTGTTGCCAGGGAATGCACTGTTCTTCCATATATGCTTGTAGGTCTTGAAGTGCTCGTTGATGCCACCCAAGACATTCTTTTGGCCATTCCCAGTAGACGAAGGTCTCGGGGTCCTCCTCCAAGGCGTCCTTGATGAAGCGTGCAGCGTAGCCAAGCATGCGACGCCCTCGACGACGATAGCTCTCCAGCAGCTCTTGTCTTTCTGGACCTTGGTAGTTCAAACGGGTCCAGGGACACCACTTGGTGCAAGGAAGTGAGAACCACAATCTCTTCGGACGTTTCACCTTTCTCTCATGAGCCAGCCGCTCCCAAGTGGCAGGTTGATAGAGATCATAGCCTTGGTGAAGATTGACCCTTTTGCAGTGTAGTCCTTGGCGTTCCGAAGCCTTGGTGAGCCAGCTGTCAGGAGCGCAAGCAAACTCCCACAAGCCATCTCTTTGATCTTGTATGAGGTCCATGGCTGAGTTGGTCAGGGCTGTGGTCAAAGTGACGGCCATGAGCATCACCTTGGCCGCCATGTGCTTGCTCACTGTTCGACATGCTCCTGCTGGTAGGCCTCTGCCAGGTTCTCGGGATCGGTGATCACGTGCCAGCTCTGAGTCGACTGTGATGGACTCTGAGTGCTGGGAGGCGTCGTCTTTGCCTTGGCTGTGGGTGAACCGTACCCGTGATCGTTCTCGAGCACTTGATGCTTGTCCTCCGGGCGCAGAATGGCCTGGTTGATCGTGACCATGAGGGACTCCTCCGCCTCGATTTTCTTGAACACGGCAGATGTCGATGGTCGGCTTGTAGCCGCGCATCAGTGGCTCCAGCTGGTTGAGCATCTTCTGAACCATTGCCGGACTGTCGTTGCGGGTCGTGTTGCCATGCTTGCCCTCCCGGGGCACGTACTTCAGACGAAGATGGCACACTTGGCAATCCACCCATTGGCCATGAGGGTTGCTCAGAGGTTTGCCCGCCTGGTGCTGGTTGTAGCACGGCCATTGATGGATCTGACAACGAGGGTCTCGAGGATCTGCATACACCGCCCTCGAGGAGTCGAAGGGAGCCGGCGGTGCCTTCTTCGGTGTTGCCTCGGTCACCTGCTTGACCATCGCTTCCACATCGGCTGGAGTCAAAGTCTTGGGAGCCACTCACGCCGAGGGAGTGCGAGTGCGAATTGGGGCTGGTGTCAACGAAGTGGACACGCGGCATCGAAGACTGAGCCAGATTTTGCCGGTGATTCGCACCTGCTGCATGAACTCTTTGCAAAAGTGCTTTTGAACGATCGTGTACATCTGCACTGACTGTCATGAACATAAACGGTGATGAAGCTACCATATCATAATACTCCAAAGGATGAAAAAGAAGAGGTTGAAGTGCGAATGCCGTCTGTTGATTGGACCCCTTGTGCACATGAATAGAAGCGTGACCAGAACCAATATTGCCCATTGTAAGGTAGTAGGAGATGTCCAGGATATAGTGTCCCTTGTTGTTGGTCTTCAACTGATATGCTTCGGGGTGCTCTTCATGTGCATTCAGGGCCAATCCCGTCATGAAGTCGATCACCATCGCGGATTCGGCTCCGGCCAAATGATCCATGCCCAAAAGTATTGGAACCAGGGTGCCCTTGTTGGTGTCAAACTCAGGTGGGTTTGGCAAAACATACAGTCCAAACGATCGAAGATGACCTGAAACCTTGCTGGAAAGGACCACTCTGTAAAGTGCCTGACCCCATCGACCATTCCCGAATCGAAAGTACGGCCGCGCATACGGTTGCACGTCGATGGAGGCTCCAGGATCAAAGCTCAGCAAGGCCTGGATCAGCCCCTTGACTGATTCTTCAGGGCCTGCCGAGGCAGTAGCACCGCTATCAATCAAGGCCTCGCCAGGAGAAACATTGGCCGATGAGGCCGCATTCAAATGCTCAGTCGTGAGACTCTCATGAATCTCAAGCCCGTTCATGTAGAAGGGCTCCATGGCATAGGCATTCACAGCAGGTCGGCCAAGAGCTTTGTTCTTGCTCTTGCCCTTTCCCTTCCACACGGCATGTAGGTGTGCAGGTCGTGAAGGTGACTTTGACTTGGGTTTGCCCTTGCCCTTACCGATCATGTACGTGTCATACACTGGGGAGTAGTCCGTGTAGAAGGAGCTGTAGCCCTTAGACTTACCCTTGTGGAACTGGGGGTGCATGCGATCTGGACATTCCCGTGCCAGGTGTTGAGTTGACCCACACTTGAAACACGCAGGACGAGGTTGTCCCTTGCCGGTGACATGACCAAAGCCACGATCTTTCCGAAGAGCAGCTTGAGCACGTTGGGCCTCAGTCCATGTGCGCTGTTCCAAAGCCATGCCATCAGCTGACTTTGAGATGTCAGCTTCTGGTTCACCTGAGTCCGTCTGGGTTTGAGCCTGCAGTTCATGAACAGGCTCTTCATTCCAGGACTCTTCATAGGCATGGAAGCCATAGTTCTCGTCAAGGTCATAGTGTCAGGAGCTCCAATCATCAGTGCCCACATAGGCATGCCAGTTCCAGCTTTCATCATCCTCCCACCAATCATCATCAGCTTGGGAGGCATAGAGCTCTTGAAACATTGCTTGTTGGCCAAATGAACCAGTTCTACCCCCCAACAACTGATCATCCCAAAGGGTCTGAAGAGCTTGGGTGACAGTTTCAAACTCCAAGGAACCTTTTGTGGTGGAAATGATGTCACGTTTTTCATCAGGGTTCAAACCAGCGGCTTGAAGAAGTCTGAACCCCCTCAACACTCCCAGCACAAATGAATCCGCTAATGAAAGTTCGTCGAGAGGCTTGGCCTGAGCAGGCGAGGTCTTCTCCACTGCTGGAGTTCCAGCTGAGCCATGGTGACTAGGCGAGCCACCCATGTCTTGAGGGCCAGCGGCAGCAGATGTCGTCGATGCTGAAGGCTTCGACTTGGGATCTTGATCCTCCTTGGAATCTTCTTCATCATCAGCGGGTGGCTCCTCGGAGTCTGGCCACCAATCATCCCATTCATCCCATGCTTCAGCATCATCAGGCAAGCCGAAGTCTTTCTCCTCCTGCTTGATGCCAAGCTTGTCCTCGTGGAGCCTTGAGATGGCCTCAACGAACTCGGAATAGCCCAAAGCTTCTCTCACCAGGAAGGAATTCATGGCTTCTCCCTGATGACGTTTGAATGAGAAGTATTGGCTGCAAATCGCAGCCGCATTTGGAAGGGCTTGACGTACCAAGGGGCTCGCGGCCAGAAGACGAAGCAGCTTCTTCGTGCCGCCAGAGCTGTCAAAGTCCACATTGGCCCATGACATAGCCAGGAGCCTTGCTGGACCGGTGAGGCGACTGATGATCTTCGTGGCACAATAGCGTCGCTTGTGCTGTGGAGTAGCCCTGAGGTACCATCCTACCTCTCGAGTGAATCGCCTCCAGGTCCGAGCTTCCCCATTCCACGTGGGGATATGTCCGCTGTCTTTGTCAGCCATGGTGCAAGGTCAAGGGTCCAGGTTCTATCACCTGGAAGTGCAAAACAAATGAAGTCCCACCCAAATGAGGTAATCGAGGAACACTATGTCTCGTGCACTGAGGTGGAAGAAAAACCAAAAGCTAGCTTTCCGAGGAGATCGAATCCCTTGAAGATGTTCTCAACTATAGGAAAGCAAAGTCAGGTCCCTGGAGCGGATTGCTCCGCTACCAATGCAGCGGAGCTAGCTGCACTCGTAGTGTAGCAGGCTTTCAAAAGGAGGTGGTGGTAGCGAACACGATGCGAGCCCACCCAACCAAGGATCGCAATGATCCGGAGCACCTTTTCTCAAGTGCCGTCGAAAGGCCTCATAGGCCTGTGTAGCCACCATGGCCGAGTTCCGACCAACGATCCGTGGATCAAAAGGGGGCCCCCTGGTTTGGGCCGTACACAAACGGAGAAAACATGGTGGCACCTGAAACATGTCCCAAAGCTGCAGAATCCAATCGATACTTTTGTCAGTCTTCATCCCTGAAACCGGGTTGAAACATGGCTTCAATTTTATTCATAGAGTATGTGATTTGGTTTGATTGTTGTATTCATGATACTTGGCCAATCATGCAGTATTGGAATCACTGTTTTTGCACGTGTTTGGATTCATAGGAGATTTGGGAGACCCCGAAGGGTCGGGTTTGGTGCCTTTGTTCGAGCGAGGCCCAACGAAGGAACCAAAGAGAGGAACAAAAACGGTGATAGGAGTCCTCTAGATTCTGATGAGAAATCCTTTGAAGACTTGGGCTTTTGAGTCAAAACCTGAAGCCCTTTTGACCGTAGTTTGATCTTCCTGGTAGCCGATCCTGTTCATGATGAACGTGGGAAACACCAGGGTGCCCCACTTTTAGGATCCACATTTCGGTCGTGTTTGTACATACATTCCGGGGCTCCAACCCGTGGTTCAACGCATCGTTGTTTGTTCAAAGCACTCCCGGCATCAACCGGTTGCATGACACCCCCCTTCTTTCTGGTCGAGATGAGAACGATGAGAAAGACTAAGAGCTTTCCTGGAGAGGTTTGCGCTGGCCTCAAAGTATCCCCTCACTTTGCCCTACTTGGCTTCATGTTCACAGCGCGAAGCGTGCCATCTGCGGAGGCGAGTGCAGCTTCAGAGAAGCTTCCACTCAGTGTCGAAGATGTATCTCAGCAAAGAGGGGAGACATGGGGAGACCATGGCCCTAGGGCTTCAACTACCTCCGTTTCGAAGATGGTTGGGGTGGGTGCCAGGGGGTCTAAACACCTTCTGAGGATATGGTTGGAGCCCTAGGGCTGGTTGCTTTCAAATTTATTGTATAAAAACATCTTGAAACCTTGGACCTGCAGGGCCTGGGCTGATGAATCCATCCCACCAATCAATCCGAATGCCAATCGGAATGTGTTTAAAGCGTCAGATGGGTCGAAGCCACTCCATCTTTGCGATCGGATCTGAATGTGGCATGTGAGGAAGGGCATTTGTGTTCATACCATACCCCTGTGAATAAACCTTCATGCTTGCGGTCTTAGACCATCTTAGAGCCTGCAAAGAAAGTGAATAAGCACTATAATCCCCTAAAAATTACATTTGGGAGGGTCAACCTCCAACTGAACACGTTATATATTGTTTTTTTGTCCCACCCTTGTATTCTTATAGGGGTATGTTTTTGAGGGGGCGACCTTCAAGGCACGTCTTGCAAGTGTTGGCTTAGACCCCGGGTCTAATATGGCCATGGTCTAATGATTGATATTTATCATGCAATTCAACTTCCCCTCGAATTGATATTGATCGCTTCTATCCCATCCTGGCTACATAGCGGCTACCCCTCCAAGACGTGTATCACGTGGCTCGTGTGCATGCGACGTGTCCATACGTGTCCTACATCTGAGTCCTTTCGTCCGAAGGAGGCAGCGTCTGAACGACGAAGTTTGGAGGTGGGCGGAATGCATTGACCACTTAGACCTCGCAGGGTCTGGTGCTTCTCCACGTATGAAGTGGTTCTTCTAGCGTTTGGCCACAAGCAGGGCGAAATCGGAGCCCGCAAGAGGAAATTGACAAATCTAGGCCCTGGGCATTAGAGAACTGAGCCTATTGATAACTCAAAACCAGCCTATGTGTAAGTAACATGTCAGTCCCACTGGATTCTTTGGGGCGTTTGTAATGGCTGTGTAGTTGGACGCAGAGCTGTTGGTTCAGTGCAGTAGAGAGCGATTTTTGCCCGAAAGTGTCGAGAAACGCCAGCGCCAATGCATGTGGAACTCCTTGGTGGGAGCAAGCAGCCCTTTGTTTCTTTAAATGGTACGTTACCTTTGTTTTTCCGATAGTCAGCATAGACAGCATATTATATACTATATATATTACATACCCAGACATGGAACATTTGCCTACACTAGGGTTGTTTTGAGGGATATTCCACACATGGATTGTCGGGATCTGTATATAATGTTGAATTTTAGTGTCTCTAGATGCAATGATTGATGCCATGATGAACTCTATGAGGTTTGCTCTTGTGCTCATGTTCCCATTCAGACCATCTCAAAAGATCTATAGTGGATTGAGAGATGGCACAGACCCCAATGTCGGTGGTTTATATGGACCCTGAAGGACATCATGGGGGAAACGTGCCCTTTCTCACCTCTGAAACCACTGGTATTGATTTGCTTGCAACAGGTGACGTAGCCCAGCGTCTCCGCGCACAGTCGCGCGAGCCGCCGCGTCGTCTTCGCGGCGCTTCGTGAGGAGTCTCAGAGGACGACAAGCGCCAAAGATGTGTCTTGGTAACACGAAGGTCGGTGGACATGAACCAGAGCCGAGAGGCTACACTCGAAGTGGACGTGGACCCGGGAAGTGTGCGGGTGTTTTTCATGGGAGACCCCTTCTGTATGGAGCGAAGTGAGCGAATGAACCCAGACCCCGCCCCTGGCGCCCCGCACTGCTCTTCCAAATCACCAGAACTGGGTTGCCAGACTGCCAGATCCGCAAAAATGTGGCATGGATGAACATCTACATCGGATTTTCCACCTAAGAATCAATCAAGGACCCTCAGGCGAAGGTTTGGTTCGGGCCCAATGCCCTGTTGTGGATGGTTACACTCCCTATAGAATCAGTGGGTTCTCCACCTGCCAGCACTGGGATGTTGGTTCCGAAATCGGAGATGCATTTTCCATCCACATCACTCACCCATAGGGTCCCAGGGAACCTCTTTTTCGGATGGTATTGGAGGTGACTTCCAGAGCGTCTTTGGACATCCGAACAAGATGGTCCTGGACCCTAAAAAACGCCTAGACTTCCAAGTTGGAACTTCCCCTTTTCATCCAAAAACATGGTTGACCTGGGTTTGTAGTGTGTTGATTCAGTAAAAGCCTCTTGTACATGAATGGTGCTTGGAAGCCGATTCTTCGGGTCTACGGCATGAATCGGTCGGTCACAGCACCGGTTTTCGCGGTCACGATCGATCCAGCGCCTCGCGCTGTGTGTCCGGAACGAGGCGCAGGTGCTGGGCGACACGGCAGGAAGAAGCTCAGTCACGGCCAGGGTCCCTGGAGCTCCAGGGAGCAACAGAAGTGGAGCGAGTGAGAGAGCGAGGGGCTGAGCGAGGGGCGTCAGCCGCCCCAAAACGGATGCCTAATGTAGACTCTTGATTTGGGACCCCGCCCCAAGCCTGAAGAAGTTTTTCCATGTCTGGGGGAGAACTTCTGTGCCTCAAGAGTCTACATCACATACTACTTTGGGAGACATGATGTCCAGTCTTGGAGTGTGGTGGTTCCACGGGAGGATGGAGTGACCTTTTGTGACGAGTTTCCCGGTGTAGCTGGAAGAGGGAGAGCGAGACCTAGGCGCTCCGAGTGGTGTCCCCAGTTCTCCGGTCCCCGGGGACCCTGCTATCCATGGTGTCGCAGAGGGTGTCACCTCGTGGAGCACCCGAGCACTCCCGACAACTCCGTCGTGAGCTCTGTGAGAGAAAGCGGTGAGCTGACCATTTGGGTCCATCACACTGTCCGGCGCGAGAGGTCTGGTAGATGGCCACTGTCTGGCGCACCATCCATGTTAGATCATGTCAGTATATTATATATATAATATAATTACCAAAAATACTTTTTTTTTTTTTTTAAATATAAGTACTATTTAGTACCCCTGTCAGTCATCTCACTTACGCTAACCTGGCAAGTAGAACATATTGTTTTGAGGTGATGTTAGTAGACACTTTCAGTTCTAAGGTTCTAAGTTAACATAGGGAAGTGTATTGGCTCATAACCCATGGGTTAAAAAGGACACCTATTGGCTCATAACCCATGGGTTTGAAAGGAAGCCTATTGGCTCACATATAACCCATGGGTTCCAAAGGACACCCATTGGCTCACATATAACCCATGAGTTCCAAAGGACACCCATTGGCAAACATATAACCCATGAGTTCCAAAGGACACCTATTAGCTCATAACCCATGGGGTTAAAAAGGACGCCTATTGGCTCATAACCCATGGGTACCGATGGGTTTGAAAGGACACCCATAACCCATGGGTTAAAAAGGACACATATTGGCTCATAACCCATGGGTTTGAAAGGACACCCATTGGCTCATAACCCATGGATTTGAAAGGAAACCTATTGGCTCATAACCCATGGGTTTGAAAGGAAACCTATTGGCTCACATATAACCCGTGGGTTCC